CCGTTCACACATTCCCTCCAATTTACTTCTGCTGAGGTTCCCACACCCACTCAAGGTGGCCCAACATGGTTGGTACAATGTTGAAGCAAACAGTCACACCCACTTTCCCATGATAAAGGCAACGTTAAAATAGATAGCTACATATATTTGCTTCCTGTTTACATTTATAGACATAAATACAAGCGCAGGCTTACGTCCTAATAATATTACTGCAAAAACAACACGGCTATGATTGGACCTAGACTGGTGTAAGAATCTGTACGGAGGTTAACGGAGGTTAAGGTGCCTTATTACAGGGACCAGGCCATTCCATTAAAGGCTGTTCGTGGTTTGATTTATACCAAGTTGATACAAAAAGACACACAGAAGATACATTTAAAAGGAACTCATCTTTAAAAAAAAGAAAAGAAAAACATTCCCTTCACCAACAGAGAAATTAGGACTTTTGTTATGAAAGTGAAATTTTGCAACAATTTACTTGCATATGCTGTCAAAAGGAAATCTGAATCAGCAAAAATTTGGTATTAGAAAGTCGCATTAGTCAAAAATTCAGAATTGTCCAAGACAAATCTCAATCAGATGCATCTCTATTATTGCACTTTTAAGATATTTTATTTAACTGTTATTAAAAGAAAACCAGCAAGTACTTTGGCCACAGTGACTGTACTTAAAAATGTGGACCTGCTGCTGAAGCCAAAGGAATCTCAGTGCATGGAACAATGTTCAATTATTAAAGTCCCAGAATAGCACCACCCTTTTAGTCTGTTATCACATTTCTTTAAATGACATAACCCTATACCTTTTAACGAGATGTGCTCTGGTAATTCACTATTATTCCCACTATCTCTCCTCAGTCAAGTTCCTGATGTATTGTGCGTGACATCCTGTCCAGACGTAACTAAGCCAAAGCTGATGAACAACACAGTTGGTTTTCAACCGTGTGGAGGTCTCAGAAGAATGTGCACTAGCTCAGCTGTGTCACCTTATGTAAACACCAAGGAACAATGTTTTGAATGCTGAGTCACAATGCCCATTAAAAAGTTACCCCACCTTCCAATCCCACTTCAATCGCCAGTGTTCCTCCTTATATGTCAATGTTGAAGGTAAGGTCCAGGCAGAGAGGTGTCACACTCACTCTGCACAGCCTTATATAGAAACAATCAGAGGTTTGCGATCAGTGCTGTACTATACTATCAGCTGTTGGGAACCAACATGCACATGGTACTACTGTGATGCCACCAATACACAAGCCAGAGCAAGGTCACGTCCCTTTGTCTCTTTACCGTCTTATTATGGACTCCACTTATCACAGGCACGGGACGAGGGGTGCTGGGAAATGATTGGCTTCATGGTTTTACAAACTTTTTTTTCAGTGAAGGAAAAGATAAATTAAGGTGTTAGAGTGGAGTTGGCACGTAGAGTGTCCGCCGTCTGGATAAGGTTACATTCCAAACAGAGCTGGGACACACATGCAAACAGTGCCAAGTGGAAGTGGAGTGTCTTCTCTAATGAAAGGGGCATAAGGTCAGCAGTGCTATTATGGTTGGAAAAACCAACCAACCGTAATTCGACTCATCCCCAAAATTCATGTGCCAAATATCCTGCAAGGGTCGAAAACAAATCACCTGTTTTGCGGGGTTTATTTGTTCAGTTACTTGACTCCCGTCTTCCCCTCAAACAGCAGTTTGTTATGGGTAGCAGATATTAATATAGCAGGAAATAATATGACCATGTTGTTGAAACCCAGTGCTGAAATACAACCCAGCTCCAGTAGGAAAAGGCCTATTAATGCAGGTATTTTCATTGCAGTTAAATCCAGTTCTGGGCTAAGTTTATGGAAAAAGCTTCAGTGGGCCAGTCGTTAATACTGAGAGTGCTGAAGTTTGTATGACTGCTGGAGGGACGCCATCACCCAAGCAGCATCTGGAGAGATTTTCCTGTTTATACAAACTACAATTTAATGCCATGCGTAACCCTTGTTTCTTAATAATATCATTTTTTATCTTTGTTGTGTTTTAGGTGCGTGTTTTGTTTCTGCCTCTGTTATACGGGAAGATTGTGGTAACTCTTCTTTAGCCTTTTAGCTACCTTAGGCAGAGCATAGGCCAAATAGGTGTCACTTATTGGGGGTGATGTTGCAATTAAAACAACAATAAAGCCTATTTTTCCGAGAAAACACCACACACAAGTTGTAACACTTTTGTAAAGAAAGTCCACGTCTAAATTTACACATAACTTGCCGTTGTAGCTAATGAGCTAATGTCTCTACATGAGTCTGCTCTGACGCCAGAGCAGAGAGTGAATGCAGATTTATTGAAGTCATCCCATAATGAGGTACATTGTTTTTAAGTGTAGTGCTGCTTAAATGCATTATGGTAAACAGATGTGACAGAATGCATTTGGTGAGACGTACTAAGTGTTAATATTACATAATGTTCCCCAGGGCTTACTAATGGGACCACCTACACAATACAGGAAGAGATGCAAATGATAAAATTTACATTTTCACGGCACAGCCTCTGAACACATTTCCAGGAGTGAAATACCAAAAAAAAAGTGAATTTATTACTGGAAAACTGTTTATATATGGAAAATAACTTTTTAAACACAATGACGGCTTTGAACATGTCTGCCATTCAGTAAAACTGACATGTACTGTTCAGTCTTTATGTTTGACAGAACCACCCCCCCCCCCATTACCTCTTTGACACACACACCCAAATTGTATTATTGATTGTACTCACAGACAAGACAATTAAAATAACCATGACGTGTCTGTTTCCAGTTTCTGAGACCTATTTAGGCAGTGACACCACTGCTCTGGATGCTGATTCATCTCCACCACCTGGAGACTAAATGTCTCACTCCTCCAAGAAGGAATTGACCATTCATGGTAATATATGTCTGTCATACAAAGAGCATGAATACCCACATCTGAGGATTGTGCTAAAATGTTGATTTATAAGCCTAACAACTTCCTCCCCTGAGAGGGTCTGCTGCCAACGCCGTGTGACTCAAACCCCTGTGTGATTCTAAATAAGGAGGTGCATTTGTCTGTGCTGTTTATCAGTGCGTTCCATACACACCGACACCAACTGTCAC